TTGAAATTTTTTGTAATGATTAAAAAATAAGCAAGCTAGCTAGGGAAATTGGAATTGAATGGATTTAGCTAGAAACTTTTACATTAAGCATTGTAACTTTGCAAAAGGTTTAACTGAAAAATTTCAGCCTTACTATTTGGCCATCGAAACGCGATATAATTGGCTTCCTTCTTCAATACACGAGCACAACAACGAAGCCTATAATTTAGACGAAAAGGATGGAAATTGCTGTTGTCTAACGAATTTACAGGAAATTACAGTATTTAAGAAGTTTTGACATGAAATATGAATATTTTTTAACTTTGCCAACGAAATATTCATTTTATGCAGAGGAATGGCAAATCAAAAGTTACAATCAATATATTGACTGGAATAGTAAAAATAACTTCTGTTGCATAAAGTTTTTTGTCATGGCAATACTTGCCTAAGTGCATCCATTCCGTATTAAAAATTCATTAGAATAGAGCAGAAGATATACAAAGAGCTATAAGCACTTTTTCGCAAGTCAATGATTTCATGAAGTTCTCAATAATGAAAAAAATTTCTGCATTGTGTAATTGCTTAATTATAATATATCTCTATTTTTATAACCAAGAAGACTCATGGATTCTGTAATTTGGAGCCACTAAAATCGCAATTAAGTTGGCACTTCAAAATATTCATATTTACCACTTGAATTGTAAATGAATCCATTAAGAAATAATAATTCCCTTCGGGAAAAAATATTGCATTAGCCACTAAGCAATCATTTTCTATTTGGGATAATAACTGGAGGAATACTTATACATGCAAACGGACACAGACTGCTATACTTAAGTTTTTATTCAACTCTTTTTAGGAAGGAATGAAACTATAATCTAAGAGAAAGCAAATGTTGGAACAAATAAAATGGGCATGCAAGCTGCATTTTACGTGAAGATGCATAAAAAATTGGCAAGGATTGCGTTTAGCTGATTCATATAACAATTACTGTAGGATTACTAATACAGAATCACTTTGTAAACAGGTACAATACGAGGATCATTGGAGACGCAAAGAGATAAAACGTCATGCAAAAGAGCAAAATAAACCTTCATTTGGTATTATGGGCTGAGCAACTATTTTGCAGCAGCCTTAATGAAATGCTCATCATTCTTACAGCTGCAAAATTTCCAAAAAATTCCATACGATGCATTTTTTATGTCAAATTTGATAAATAATAACGCTTTGACACAAATTTTTTTTATGTAATTTGTTCCTGCAATATCTTATCTAATTTTAAAATCTAAGCAACTAGTCTTTTACTTGAAAAATGCTTGAAATCTCTAAATGTACTATTTTTTCAAGCATGAAATTATTTTAATCTTTCAAAATTTATTGAGATATAAAGCATCTTTAAAAATTTTATTTGTTTCTACGACACTTTTTGATACATAGCATGCGCTTTTTTAAAGTAATTAATTATGTTTAATTTTGGGAATGCTCTTAATTTTTCAACGAATGCATTTAATTTCTGAAAAAAAATTTGTAGACAAAAAAAAGTAAACACCAGCCAAAAAAATTAAGCACGACTTTGCAACTAAAACAAAACAGAGAAATTTTACATTTTTAAGAATTCTGTAAATTTTAAAATGCAAGCATTCATCACTATCTGTATTAATATGCGTACTTCAAACAATGATTCAAATTTTTTGAACTAAAATAAAATTGCAAGGCTCCTTAGCAATTTTCTTATACGTATGAAAAATCGTTGAAATATGATTATTAAAACATGACGATAAGAGTAGCAGTTTTAATAAGAATTTAGAAAAACGAAAATATAGCTATAAAAACTACTGAGGATTCTTTCAAAGAAGGGTATCACAATATGTCTCTTTCTGTAAACTTATCAAAAAATATATGCGAGGAGTTACAACAGCATACACTTTTATTTATTTTAAAATGCAGAATAGGAATTGACTCTAAAATTCGTGCAAACATTGTTTTTTCAGATATAGAGTGAATAGAAATTATGGAAGCGCTTTGAATATGCAGAATTAATTACTATTGTAAAGAAGATATTGAACTCTATTATAATTTGCTTTTACAAAATGCTAAGTTGGTATTTTCCCTGAAGAAACTACAAATAATTCGATGCTGTAAAATTTACTTAGCTCAGCAATATTCACTATTTGTGTGTTTTCCTTGCATGTAAATATTTTCCTTTTTTTACGTCTGCAACTTCGCATCAAATGCAGGAAGCCTTAAACAAACAAATGCTTTTCGCAGTGCATTCCGCAGAAGAAACGCTTGCATAGAAACAATTCTTTTTTCTTTGATTTCCTTGCTTTTTGCTATCACCCATAAAAATTTGTCAAGCAGTTTTCTTTGACTACGTTTAGAGTTTTCTTATTTTTTAAAGGGTTAAATCTTCTGATAAAATCGTTTTCAGCATAGTAAAAAATAGAAAATTTGAAGTTGGTTGTGTCTATTTTTGTAATTCCGCATGACTGCATTTTTAAGAGAAGTATTATAATATTTTTTAATGCTCTCTCAGAATTACTCATTTTAATGCCATAAACCTGCAACGTGTAAATACATTCAATAGAATTAAAAAATTTGTGTAGCAAGTGAAAATTATGGAACTTGAAAGACTACTACCATACTTGCGCAACGATTCCAGTTGTAACTGCCATATTTCACGTTCTTCGCGGGTTTTGAAACTACAACAAATTAGAGAATAGCAGGAAGAATGCGTTCAAGATTTCTTTATGCTTTTCAGTAATAAATCATAACAGCTAAGTATTACATTTTTTCTGATTTTTCAATGACAATATGGTATTTTATGGCTTTCACAATATAAAATATGAAAGCGCTTGTGAGGGAGAATTTTACGAATTGCAATTTTTTTTTCAGAATATACAAAAAAGTGTAATACTGAATCGAATTTCAAAAATTGCTTACGTAAAGAGGAAATTGGAAAGAGGTGGTAAATTAACAGCGACATCTAGGGTCTTTGGATTGTCTGATTTGGCTTTCAAGCTAGAAATCTTCAAAGCAACACAGCATGTTCAATCATTTTGATCAAAGAGATACATATTCGAAAAAAATTAAAGCATTTTAGAAATGACAAAACGCTTGCTTTCATATTGGATATATCTTATTTTTGGCAAATAAAAGTTTATACTTTTTTTTGTTTTACTATGCAAAATTTGTGGCCATTGCCCGTGCCCAACATGTAAATACAACAGTGATTAGTGATGCATTTATATACATTCAGTGAGCAGTTACTGTAGTTTTAAAAATACATGAATAAAAGTCCGGAGTAAAGGAAGTTTCAATAGTATAAATGACAATCATTTTTGATATAGAAAACACTGTTAAGTTTGGAGAAATCAAACAGAAACAAACGATACCTTCTCGACAAGAAATTGCCCAGCCGCTTTTTTCTGTCCGCCAGTTTGCACGCTTCTGCCTTTGTACCACTCTATGCCGGTACCATCTTTTGAACATGTTACTTTTACAGTTTCTTGAAAAATGGCTGTCTTCAATTTAACAACTTTTGTTAACAGCTTCCGAAATTCGATGATTTTCTTCTGATGGAGATCCTTTGAGCTTATCTAATCGATGAATAGTAATAAACAAGCTATTTGTTTGTTTCACCGGAAATATCTGCCTACAGTCTTCGTATTTCCAATGGCTAATGACAAAACAAAACTAATAAATCTGTCATACACCCTCGGCCATGTCGTCTCATTCCATACCGCGTCAATTTCTTCTTCACTCTCTTCCTCATCCTCTTCAAAACTAGATTCGTCTTTCTCAGCAGGTTTCATTTTGACCGAATACGTAGGGTGCCTCCGAGAAGGCCGAGCAGCCGTAGCAGCACTTCCTTTTATATTTGCTACATTACTTACCTGCAAGAAACAGACACGGCTTAATTCGTTAAGTTTATACTAATCTGTAGTAACTTTTTTTTCTGAGCTCTTTTTGTAAGTACACTCGTATAGTGAATACAGATAAAATTTGCATTTCTTTAGTATGCATTATACAATGGAAATACTGACAACGTGTAAAGGGAATTCTTAAATGTATTGCTACATTGAAGCGCTAATTTGAGTAAAATTTAAATTCCCGCCTATATACGACGAACATGAATTAATTTGGACATATAGTACCGGCGTTGACGTGAGTAAAGGAGCACCAGTAATTCCATTTCCATACGCTTGCGATAAACTGGCGACGAGGCTTCCCTTTTGGGGCTACATTAATTTAATAGAAAAAAAGTTGTCGGTGGGAGCATATTGAATGGAATATTTCAGTACTCTAATTTAGTTAGAGAGGTGATCGTTAGGCTTCATCCTACATTTACTCCATCATTTCAAATGTATTAAAAGAGTTATGCTGGCGCATTGCAAGCACTTATAAATTTTGCGTACTTTTCCAGCTTCAATTTGAAGTAATGATCCATCCGGTGTACGCCCTCTCCAACGTTCCAAACAAGTAATTAGGGCTCCCATTTTTGAGGGATACTTTATAACCCTGCAGTATGTCCGGATAAAGGCTTTCACATGCAGAAAGTAACAAGATTGAATTCAAAAAGTATATGGAAACAAGCAATATTTTGGTTATAAGTGGCTGCTCAAATGAGTTGTAGAATGGCTTATATATTGTTTTTTACAGTAAAATTGGGCTTTTTTGATCATCACTTATAATTCGAGTAGAAATACTGTTTTGATAAATCTTTCGTTTATTGCCGTTTAGCCGTGTAATTTCAATGAACCTAAATTTATCTTGTGGTCTAAAAGCGCTTGTGGGTCCCCAGCATTACTGAAGGCACGCTCGCTTTGTATATTATCATAAAACTAGCAAGCGTACCCCCGAAAATGAACACGCAATATTCGTTTTTCAGGATGATTGCCGCTTGCCAGAAATGCTTGTAATGTGAGAGATTAAAACGATGGCACAGTGTCGTATGTCATTCGTTGAATGCAAAAATGATATACGCTCAAGTCAAAATCAAAAGCAACAAAACTGTCGAAGCGTCTGTAGTCTAGCGGTTATGATACCTGCCTTCCAAGCAGGTGATCCGGGTTCGACTCCCGGCGGATGCACCTTTTTTGTAAACGGTCGTTACAGAAATTTTTATAGCGTTGCATAAGCTATTCAGTAAACTTTATCATGAGGAGGGCTAATTTTATCAATCAGGGTCATATTGCAATATGGTCTCTTCTATTTTTGATAGTCCAATTCTGCTTCCAAATCTTTTTTATTTCTAACTTATTTCGAATTGCAAGGTTGAACTCAAATGGGTGAACTACTCCATATGCTGCGAGCAAGTCAAGTACTTTGTCACTTCCTTGCTGAGAGAGGTAACTGATGCATCCATGCTTAGTACGCAAGAATCGATTAAGGATGAACCCTCATGATTATTTACTGTTTATAAAAATAGGGTGACCTGGTAAAAAGGTTTGTCACCATGAGCTACTGGTTTTTCCGTGTTTACAAGATTTCTATTCATTCAGTTTGCTTCCTTCCCGCAAAATTGTAAATTCTCCGGTGTATTTTCTAAAAATTTTAGTATGCACATAATCTTGACTTTTCTTAGCTGATTTCCTCTATGCAAAATATTTCAGTGGTTTATCTCAGGTATTAAAAATTGAGTGCTTTCGCTATCGTCATAAAGACAGATAATACTGCTAAACCATTCTCTTAAGAATCATGGGACTGCCAATTATTTTTTTGGCTCTTTTTGCGGGTACGTCTTTGAGTGCTACCATCTTGTTGCGCTTGCCGCCAACAATAAAAATATTAATTTTCTTTCAGGCGCAATTCTTCCATTTGTTCACATGGATGAAAAGTTAGGAAACACTGGTATTACGCAGCCATCTGTCGAATTCGTTTCCAAAGGTAATATTTCAAGCAATTGTAAGAAAAAATATTAAATAAAAAGTAATAGAAGTATAATCATTGTATAATTTATCATTGCATTTAGATACGCTTTGCTCTCAATTCTACCCTACCAGATAAGGTCCCCACGGTTGCGTATTCCTCTAGTGACCTATGGAAGATACCTACTGAAGTGTTTAAAATGATACAAATAGCCTTGCGGGATAATGACTTTCTCATGCAGCCTCTTACTTTCAGTATTCAAGACATCAATCTAAATCAAGAGGCAAGAGCAGCAATGATAAAACTTCCTTTGGATCTTTCCTTACGTATAACTCCTGGTATTTCAAAGTTTAAACAACTGTAACCTTATATTGCTTCTGTCTCCCCCAGTAGTTTTACTAAAACAGTACTGGCATGCTGTATATTTTGCATTTTTAGCAAATGTGATTCTATACGATAAGGATAATAATATTTTGGCCAAATCTACATCAAAAGGTAGTTCAAATGAAATCGCACGCAATCTACGTAGAAAGATTGAAACAACAGAGCTCGAAGCTGGCCAGATTATTCAAGAAAAAATTACAAAGAACAATGAGCGTCATCTCCAATACTTATTCAATCCCTATTTAATTCGTCACTACGGTAAGCCGATGCCCTCCTGAGGGATGGAAAATCATTAAAAACATTCTTTTTCCTTATGAAAGCGCTTTATTTTATTTTGACATACCGCATCTTCATACCACAGGCTTCTATGGTGCTCCGTATTACCGCCGTCAATATTATCCATATTTCTACCATCCACGTTTTTACGGTCGCTACCTTACAGGTACATTATAGAAGTTGTGCTAGTATTAGATACTTGCCATTATTTTCAAGTTGTATGACTTTGACACTTTTCTTCAACATAACTTTCCATATTTTTTATTACAAGAAAGCTATTCATTTCTTGCCATATAATAAGGAATTACTGTTACGTTCAGAGCAAAGCACAAAACCTACTGCAACACAAACACTAGTTTTAAAAGGTGAGTATTTCAAGGGGATGCCTGTAATTTTCCCGCTGGATGCTTTCATAAACTGATAATAAACGAAATATGACATTTGACTTTTTTGTTTTACCGCTGTACTAGCGTGAAACTAAATAAGCCACAAAAGAACATTTTCTTTGAATTATCTGTATGCCAGCAACTGATCCGGCAAGTGAGCGCGTGGTGGATGAGTTCTTGAATAGCAAAAATGATGGTGCTCAGTTTTAGATTTGGTCAGGAATTTTACTTTCACGGTCCCTTCTGAGTAAGAACCACAAATTCCAACCTTGTCATGTGAGGAAAAATAAAAGAGGGCAGCAAACGGATCAATCACGAGTCTCTATTATCATATTTGATAAAAAATTGCATGAACGGATGGCGTAATGTATGCACACGTAATGTATGCACACGAGAATAAGCAGTGGATAATTTTCACGTAATGTTGCTTCAGGATAATATCAATAAAGCAGTTTCTTGGAAGTGCGTGTAGCCTTAAGCCTTATTAAGTTTCAACTGTTGCATAAAAAAAAAGCAAACGCTTTCTATCCAAAACTCGAACATAGAAACTGAAGTAGCTTCTTCTGCATTTCTCGTTTGTAGCATATAGCATACATCTTGCGGAGCAGAAACTGAATAAACTTATTCATTTCCTGGAAATGAGCTCAGTCTAATGATAAATCTTTTAATAAATTCGCATCTATGTCGTCATCCAAAAGTGATTTATTCCTATTCTGCATATCCTCTTTTGCAAAATATTCCTCATATATAGATTACGTATTCTATAAATATTGCAACCTAGCTCCAAAACGTAGATCAAAACTAGCTATTATAATTCACTTCTGTCGTCTTCATCAGTCATGAAAATTTACATGGGTGTGAGCTCTATTTCGAGAAGGTAGCAGAGACTGGTATTCCGTCGTACACGGGGACACACAGCTACAAAAGAGCTCATTTGCTCTATCTCAAGGGGGCATAGAAATAAATATGACACAAAGTTAATTTTCCAAGGAAGATAGCGTTGGTGTTAAAAAAAATCGAGATTCATTAAGGAGAAAGACGCGTGATATGAATTATTCTAAAAAAGTGCATCATCTAGAAAAATTCGAGCAATGCAAAATGCGCAAGCTCCCAATAGAACCGTTTATTACTATTAACGAAAAAAGTTGGTTTCTTCGTTAAATTATATTTAAAACTTCGATAAAAAAAGTCAGAAAAATTGATTTAAAGTAATATGTCCCTAATGTATCAGTCCTCTTCTGCGGGAGTATGGGGATGAGAAAGCGGAGCAACTTCATCAGGATCTCGAATGGGCTATGAATTATACAAAAGTGAAAGCAACACAAATTAATTATTGGCATGACATATCAAACAGGATTTAAATACTCTTCAGTACGCAGAATTTTCATAAAACCTTCGCTAGTGTAAAACTTACATTCGGAGGATTTTTTCGCATGATAAAAGCCTTGTAAAAAAAATTTCCTGCGAATGCTCCAGTGATACCTGAAAGAGCTATAGCTGTCCACTTCGGTCCAGACAGAGCAATTTTAACAGGGGGCATCAAACTATGAAAAACAGTGCCAGTTCCTGGCGGCTGCTCAGACACAAAGCAAATATAAAAGATAGAAAACAGTTTCACAACGGAGTATATAACAGACGCTCCATGCAATAATAACTTAGAAAATACATAGAAGTTTAATTATAAATAGGTATGGGAAAAGACAGCATAAGTATAAAATCAGAAACAAAAAGGTTTAAACAATTTTAGGAAAATTACATATACTATGAAAGGAAATGGAGCGGCAGAATAAATTTTGACAAGCCACGGCGATTTAAAATTCTACTGCATTTCACTAAAATTATGATTTTAAGTGCGTACCGGTGTAGGATTTGTAGCTTTCGCTGACATAAATCGACAAGCAACCCGGTGCTAAGACAATAAAAGGGAAACATTGTAAGAAAATGAATCACCAAGATAGTTTGCGCGCTCTCTGTTTTTCTTAATCTCTTTTGTTACCAGTTGCCAGTAAAATATGATTATATGTAAAAAGTTAGATAACTCACACAGTGATAGAAGTGGCAGCAGAAAAAGCACTTCTACTAAGTTAATTTACGCATATTTGTTTTAATCCAAGTAAAATGATTGAACTCACCTCAGTTGATACATACGGAAACAATTTCTTTGTCGTAAATATACTACTTAAGAAAAAAAATAACACTAAAGTAAAACAGATATCGCTTTTGACTGTTTGCCCACCCAACGCACATAGCTTCTACTTTGCTTGAGGAAAACAAAAACTGCCTTTTGCTACAGTTAAGCATGCAGGAATACGCAGCGCTTCCATAAGCATATTCTCACCATTTTCAAATCACACAACTGCTACAAAAAATCGCAAAAAGGCTAGAAGAGAATGGAAAATGAAAGTATATAAGGTATAGTAAGGCTTCCTATATTACAAGCATTGTGACGACTGTGCTTACCAGCGCCATTGCTGAAGTTGCTCATTGGTGGAATTACAGCACTTTTCAAAAATATTGCAATGTTGCAACTTAAAAAAGAGAGGCAAAAAATGAGATTGCTACAATAAGTCAATTATTCCATAGAAAAAACAAAACGTAAGAGAAAACTAGGGAATGACATGAGAAAAAAGGTAAAGTGTGATTGTCACACGCCAACATTTGCTCAACTCACCACGAGCCGCACTGTACAACGACCAAAGCAGAAGAGCGCCGCAGTTTCATTCATACCCCGCCCTTGAAAAGGAAATTTGGTTAGGCGGGACAACGCTACAAATGGCAAATTCATCAAAGCGTTTCCTCTCAATTTATTTTTCCACAAGTTACAAAATATCTCTCTCTGCTCTTTCTAGTTTCCTTGCAGCTTTCGATTTGCTTAACCAAATAAATTTGAACAAACAAATCTGGTATAGGACAAGGAGGAAACTAAAAAATTTGTATACTTATTATACTTTGCGAAAGTGGAGGTAGAAACTACGACTTTTCTCTATGCAGAAACTTTTATGCAGATACACGTAGTGCAAATTATATGACAAGAACTATCTCAATGTTGAAGCTTTCGCATTCAAAAAGTTGCTTAGCTTATTGCTTATGCATTTAATAGTTTGTCTGAGCAATGAAATAAATATGTTCTTTACTTACAGCAGTAACCTGATCAGCCTTGGCTTGTTTAGTGAGGG